AGTATTTTTAATCAAAAGAGTTTATGTATCACACTGTGATATAAAGTCAGCCAGCTTTTGAGAAGGAGATTGGCATGTTTCCAATGCTCATCCAGTTTGCACGATTTCTCAGCAATAGATAATTGTTTCTCCCTGACTGACACACATTGTTTCTAAAGGCAGTACCGACTACTGTTGACAGTTTATCCGTAACTACCGGCTTTATCTTTCAGTGCAGCAGTATCATGTTCATGTGACTTATCTATATCAGGAAGATGGGGGAAAATCCTTATGAGGAGCTGCAGAGCATTGATTCATCAGTCTGAAAGGCAATTATCATCTTGCTTCATTTTCCTCTGCTTCTCAAGGCAAAAATCAACTAACGGCAGGGTTACATCACACAGAGATTCAATGCATATAGATTTCATGGAAAAAGATTCTTATCCTGGTCTATGTCTCACTATAAATTATGTAAGCAAGCAGTGGCCTTAGAATGGGGATATTTGTATGACAAACATATGTTTGCCCTCATATTCAGCATTTGAAGCTTAGGAAGCAAATTTACTGATGAACTGGGTTACAGTGGCACTTCAATTAATATGATTTCTATCATACTCCAATTTACAGGATGAAATCATGCACTAATGATATTACATGTGGCAGCTTGGTCATTAATTAAACACATCCACCAACAAGATGACCGGGAGATATTGATCCATTGCCATATTGATGTGTGCTTCTCTTGGAAATGCAAGCTCTGTAAATGGCCTTTGTGTTGTTGCTGTCTAGAATGACATGATCTGTGCTAGTTATTTGAGACAACGTCTATACTTGGCCAGATATATAATGATTTACAAGCAAGATCATGACATCTGTGTGCACCAATTAGTGATAGCAATAACTTCAGTACAGCTTTGTAATATGTACCGATTACTAACGTGTCAAGCCTGCAATCATTATTACCAAAGAGCAGCTCATTTAAGAATAGTGTGTAGACTAATGGGTTTATGGAAAAACTTGTGCGCTAACAATGCTTCTCTCACCTAATCTACCTAATGCATTATTCATCAGCTCAGTTAACGCAACACAAGCATAAAATATTCACTAAACAATCTTGAGCTACAGGAAAAGACAAACCCTATAGTATATCTGTCAAGGGGTTTTTTTTTATCTGCATGATGTACGGTATTCACCTTGGACACCCTGCATACGTGTGATTACTGTATGTAACAAACTATTGCTTTTTATATAGCTCAGATATTGCAGATGTGGTAGACAGTATATTTTGTTTGAATGCAATGAAGTCATGGCAGAGTTGAAGCATAATTAACTGAGGTATGCTGGTACTTGAGTCTTCACCTCTCCTGAGCCTCACTCTAACATGTGGTGATTGCGTCTCTTCTTACTTTGAAGAGCCGTAACCCAGGTCTGTCTCGGCTGCTCTTGTCAGAATGAGTGCGGTGCTCCGCTGACAGGTAATAGAGAAGATCTTCGGTTCTGCATCTGATTATACAGCTCTCGCTTCTACTGTAACTACCTCACCTCCATGACTACTTCACCCACCTCAGAAACAGATGAACAATGCTATGAAGCATTATTCAGGCTTTAGAGTGACCAAAAAAGTGTTTGGGCTCAAAAGACACTTAAGTGTATTAATGTCATTCCACTAGCTAAATAAATTGACAAAGAATAGTATTCAAACATCCTGTGTTCAAAAATAAAAACTGGAGAAAAAAGTTTTAAAAATTATATAAAATTTAAATAGTATTCAAACATGCTGTGTTCAAAAATGTATGTATAATGTGTGTGTCACTCACCTAATGAAATGATACGATTCACGATACTTTTTTTTTTTTTACCATACAACGATTTTGTTTTTACCATAATGAGATTTAATGAGATGAAAAGGTGTCCTTTTATTATTGCTTGGACAAAATGAAGCACATTTCTTTGTGAAATTAAAATATGTAGAATAATATAACTAAATAGAAATTTTATAGAAAATAGCAACCACTGTATTTCAATCACGATCCAAGCATCATGAGCAGTTTTTAATCGAAATTAAATTGTATATTTTCAAAATTTACAGCAAAACCAGAATGAGAAATGCAATATCACTCTCTGACAGCAGATGGCGCTTATGGAACAGCAGCGATACAACGTTTCCTTGGTTGCCACTGTAAACAAACCAGTGCTGCTACATTAATATACATTATACAGAGGCAAGATTAAAAGAAAATGCCATCTAGACTTTTCTAAAGACAGTCAGTTCCCCTCAGAGATACATTCAACTCACACCCCCAACTGTATCGCGATTCATTTAACATCTCAACCGATTTGAATCGTTACATATTTGTATCGATCGTTACATCCCTATAAATCATACATTACAAGCTCATTCACATTTAGGATTTACAACATAAATCCTAATGCGGATAATGTGACCGTAAATATAGCCTTTAGTCCACTTACTGCAAGATATTGGAGATAAGCAGCCAATGATCAATAGCTAGTAAACTTCCTGAGCTTTCCCGCATATCGGATTTCCACAGGATCAGATGGATTAGGCAAAATCGCTAACAGGTACTAATCCGAGCACATCCAACCCACATTCACTCTGTAAACCATCTCCATTTCAACTAAAGCTTACTGTATATTCTTCTCAAACATGCAGATTTCAACAATTGCTCCTGGAAACAGCTTGAAAATCCTTTTCGTGGAAGCACAAATCCAGTGGTTAGAAATAGGTTGTTATCTGCCGCTGTGGCCATTGTGACCTCAGATGAAATAGATCAATCTCAACAACCAATCATGAGGTCAGTCTTCTGCAGCATAATCATACTGTGAATCTCCATCTGCGCTCCATGTCTTTCCACCTCCCGAAACCTAGAAAAACCCCTGCTGTGCTATCACACAAACCTGCAGATACAATCAATATGCGGCCTTTTAGTCTTTGATTCCCTATGGAGCCGCCTTCATAGATCAGTGTGCAGCCTTACTACAGCAGCTGCTCGATGGAAAAGAATAAAAATTCCACATTTGCAGGTGTAGGAAGTGTAAGCAGCACCTGCAGAGAATAGATGTGGATACAGTTCTTTTGTTTTTTTCTTTATGGTTGTAGACTCAAGGGATTGAACTGGCGGAGTTGCCAAAATGAGGTGATAATGAGGCATTCTTTATACAAAGGTGTTTAGTGTGTATTTGTGTGCTGGCTATATTAGTGAGTTTATTCAGAGAAGAATTTGAACGATTCATTAAAAGAACCGCTCATAAGAGTCATTTAGTCATAAATCATACTAAAGTGACTGCATGGAATGTTTGTGCATGCATATCGCAAGTACAACTTTAAAGGTGCCTCTTCTTATTTGGCTGTCCCGCTGTAATCCTCAGGGTTTTGTTACTCTGAGACGTGTTAGTGAGCAGCTGGACCACATACTGACAGACATTCGTCAAACACCAAGAGCTCTTGCGATTAGTACAATGGAGTAGAAGAGCAACTGAATGTGTTTATTGACTGAAGCCTGACTCCATCCTGGTGGAGGTCGAGCTGTGTCCTCCTCAGTAATGAGAAATCATTGAAACTGCATTCACTGACATGCCACTATCACAACTTGAACTATTTCCAGAAGGTCTCTGGCTGATATTGAGGTGAGAGGAGATCATGGCCAGCTCTGTTTATGTTATTATCTAGAGCAGTGTTTCCCAACCGGGGTGCCGCGTCTGTCGAGAGCAGGGGTGCAGTGTAAAAAATCTTTTTTTAATATTTTTAAATTGCTAAAATGTTCAAAAAAGCAGCTATTATATAATATCCATTTCTGATGTCGCCAATAATTAGAGATGCACCGAAATTCCGGCTGCCGAAAATTAGTTCACCGCTCAGGATTTACTTTCACGTGGTGTGACGCTCTGCGTATTATCCCGCTCTATGCGTGTGTGCTCCGATCAGCTCCACTCATATACCGTTCATGCGAATCGGAACAGCAAAGTCCACTCAAAAATTGAGCCGACAGGAAACATCGATGTAGTACAGTATTGTTTCTGTCTGCAATAGCCCTACTGTGTTGTAACATGGTGTGGTAAATGGGCAACTCTGGTAACGCTGCCCTCTCATTCATTGATCTGCTAACCGTTATGCTCATGTGTCCTCTGATAATAATAGCTTTCTAGGATTAAACATTATTTGGATAATTGGTAAAAAAAAATAAAAATCTCTTAATAGCCCTACTGTGTTTTAGACCTACCCGAAAACTAAAAAGCAATTTATTTCATTTGTTGGCCTATCGTAATTTTTTTTATTTGTGCTGTCATTAGTAATTTCTTTATTTGTTCTTATTTTAAGTCTGACACAGAGAAAGGGACGGATGGCCGGCCAGCCGGGGTTCGTCTTTATTTAAATTTATGTGTGTGTACTTCTAACATGTTTGGTTGGTAAAATAAATGTTGTAAATTCAAATCAGAGCGTCTTCCGTGTCTGGAATGGATGTATTCTTGAGTCTATAAGGTAACAATAATATAATAAGATAACCTTGTTTGAAATGGGTTAAATAGAATTGCATTTCTAAAAAGAGACTAAAATACAATTTTCGTCGACTAAAACTAGACGAAAATAGTCATGGATAATTCTGACTAAAATAAGACTAAAATGCTCAGACTTTTAGTCGACTAAAACTTGACTAGCCTTAAAAGAGTATGAACGTGACTAAAACTAATAAAAACTAAAATGACAGCTTCACACAAAGACTAGACTAAAACTAAAATTAAAACAGGCCGCCAAAAACAACACTATGTGTGTGTGTGTGTGTGTGTGTGTGTATGTGTATATAAGGGAAACCCCAATGATGACTGTTTTATTCAGTGTTTGACTTCTTAACAAAATTTCCTCAGTCAAAGCGAATGCATTTTCTCAGAGAAAGCAGAAACACAAAATCCTTAGAAATACTGCAGGATCCTTTGTTCGTTCCAGAAATTGATTTGTATTATTTTTGGATATCTGTATTGATGTTTTTTCTCTTCTTTTGTAGCTGCCTGTGCTTGAGGTCTCAGCAGTCTGGCGTTGTGGATGGTTTGTCTACCTCTAATCCAAACCAAAAGAGATTCTGTTGGCTCAGAGCCTGTGAATGAGAGCCTAAAGCAAGCCGAGTAAAGGTGCACACACAGAGTTGATTAAAATGGGGTAAGTTTTTATGACTAACACAACAAAAGTCTAACATATTGCAATCCTAAAAGGTTTCTCTGACACACTTTCTAGCAGAGGCCTACAGATATATGTATAGTCGTATAGTCCAGATATGTAAAGTACATAATGTAAAATCAATCAGGGAACCTGATTAGTTTGTCATGAATCCTCAAGTCTGAGTGCATTTTGGCTTGGTATGAAGCTCTTGCCTCAGTGAGGGACTGTCTGCTCTTGCTTTCATGTGTCCGTAATAATTTTGCTCAAATAGGTAACGGAGCATCTGCCTGTCTGTCACACACAGAGAGGACATAGTGGGCCCGGCGTGAGCTGATCCTGTGCCACATGCTCATTAAACAAGCTCCTTATGCTAATTGACTGTTTATTCACACGTCAGCAGTTTTCAAGCGCAAGCGAAAGAAAACACTGGCAGCGCCATTGAGACAGTGAGTCTAGTCGCCCACGAAGATAAATCCTCCCAAGTGCTCCACTGTACAATTCACAGAAAAACAAAAAGGGGGCTTTCTATCTTCTTATCTCCTAAATGGAGCGTTGAAATTACCCTGATAAAACCAGAGGGGTTTCAATAGCTCCATTTTAATTAAATTGGGCCAAACGTTAATTGAACACCTGAACATGCTGGGCTTCCCCCACATAAAATCGCTGGTTTCCGGCCTTTTTCAATCTAATCGCAATGCCATTGTTGTTCTCTGACAGGCAATGTGAAGAAGATGAATATTCATTTTTCATCAGGATTTGTCCTGACTCTGCTGCCCGGAATTATTGTAACATGTTCTTTTGTAACTCCTGGCTTGACCCTGATTTCTGTTTAAGATTACGGGTGGATATTAATATGGCCCAAAGCAAGGCAATTTGTACTAATTACTGAAAGAGAAGCGCTCTCCTTGCTAATCCACAGTTCTCATCTGATTAGTGAAATAAGAGCCCCGGGCGAGTGTTGTGGCTCTCTTCATTACTGTCCCTTCTAATGTTTTTAACACCAGACATAACCGCGCGCCACCCGCCCGCCCCATGTCCCTGCATAAGAGATCCCTA